ACTCCAGTCTGGGTGACAGAGTAAGACTCCAACTCAAAAAAAAAAAAAAAGAAAAGAAAAAGAAAATAATCTCTGGACTGGGCACAGTGATTCACACCTGTATCCCAGCACTTTGGGAGGCAGAGGTGAGAGAAATGCCTAAGCCCACAGGTTCAAGACCAACCTGGGCAACTTCGCGAGACTCTCTCTACAACAAATCAAAAAAAGTTGGCCAGGCTTGGTGGCTCAGCCTGTAATCCCAATACTTTGGGAGGCTGAGGCGAGTGGATTACCTGAGCCCAGGGGTTCGAGACTATCCCAGGCAATTTGGCAAGATCTCGTCTCTACAATAAATAAAAAAAATTAGCCAGGCGTGGTAGCACACACCTGTAGCTCTGGCTACTTGGAAGGCTAACGTGAAAGGATCGCCAACACCCAGCAGGTCAACACTGGGGTGGCCATGAGTCTGCCACTGCACTCCAGTCTGGGCGACAGAGTAAGACTCAAACACATACAAAAGTAGCTGAATGTGGTGCCACACAGCTGTAGTTCCAGCTACTTGGAAGGCTGAGGTGAAAGGATCGCCTGAGCCCAGCAGATTGAGGCTGCCCTGGCCATGAGCATGCCACTTACTCCAGCCTGGGCGACAGTTAAGACCCTGACTCAAAAAAAAAAATAAAGAGAAAAACAAAACTGCTTCTGACTTGTCACTTGTCTTTCAGTAGATACATACCTAAAAGCTGCCAGAGTCTGACTGGATTGTGAACTAGATGTTGTTTCAACAGCAATCCACAGATTCCTCCAAAGGCAGGGGCTAGAGGTCGCCACTGCAAGCCCTGGAAGAAAGTCCAGCACTGAGGGTCACACCAACACCACCAGGCACCACAGCAATGCCAACTAGAAGCCTGTTGTGAAAGTTCAAACACTAATTTCTTTCTAACATTTACATTGCCCTGAAACGGGAACTAATGGTCTGCCCATTATGTCACAGCTTTAAGATAATGTGGGCTAGGAACAGTGGCTCAAACCTGTAATCTAGTATTTTGGGAAGCCGAGGCGAGAGGATTGCCTGAGCCCCGGGGTTTGAGATCAGCCTGGGCAACTTGGTGAGATCTCATCTCTACAATATATAAAAAAATTAGCCAGGCGTGGTAGCGCGCACCTGTAGTTCCAGCTACTTGGAAGGCTGAGGCGGAAGAATTGCTGAAGCCCAGCAGGTCAAGGCTGCGGTGGCCAGGAGTGGCCACTGCACTCCAGTCTGGGTGACAGAGTGAGACTCCAACTCAAAAAAAGAAAGAAAGAAATCAACTGGGCATGGTAGCGCACACCTCTAGTTTCAGTTACTTGGAAGGCTGAGACGAAAGGGCAGCCTGAGCCCAGCAGGTCAATGCTGGGGTAGGCTGTGAGCGAGTCACTGCATTACAGCCTGGGTGAGAGAGTAAGACTCTAACTCAAAAAAAAAAAAAAAAAAAAGAATATGGAAATGCCAAAGCCAGTGGGCAAGTCCCACAAGTCACAGCAGCACTGGTTGCCACCCTTGAGCAGGAGGGACCAGTCAGCATCCCAAGGACCACAGTGATTGCCCAGCCTTTTTGCTCCTGCCCACGCCAGTGACTCCAGACACTAAAGTTGTTTCTGAGTCTGTTTTCAGTGTTCTTTTGTTTTTGAGTTGGAGTCTGTCTGTTGCCCAGGCTGGAGTGCAAATAGCACTCTCACGGCCACCATGGGCTCGACCTGCTGGGCTCAGGTGATCCTTCCGCCTCAGCCTTCTAAGTAGCTGGAACCACAGGTGTGTGCTACCACACCCAGCTAATTGTTTTATTTATTGTAGAGATGAGGTCTTGCCAAGTTGCCCAGGCTGTTCTCGAAACCCTGGTCTCAGGCAATCCTCTTGCTTCGGCCTCTCAAAGTGCTGGGATTACAGGCTTAAGCCACCACGTCCAGCCAGCATTCTCCTTTTAAGATAACAATTTCTAGCCGGGTTCGGTGGCTCAGCCTGTAATCCCGCGCTTTGGGAGGCTGAGATGAGTGGATTGCCTAAGCCCACGGGTTCGAGAGCCACCTGGGCAACTTGGTGAGACCTCATCTCTACAATAAATCAAAAAAAAAAACAAAAAAAACTAGCCGGGTGTGGTAGCGTGCGCCTGTAGTTCCGGCTACTTGGAAGGCTGAGGTGGAAGAATCGCCGGAGCCCAGCAGGTCGAGGTTGTGGTGGCCAAGGAGCAGCAACTGCACTCCAGTCTGGGTGACAGAGTGAGACTCCAACAAAAAAAAAAAAAAAAGATAACTATTTCTGCACACCTATAGCTCCAGCTATCTGGAAGGCTGACATGGAAGGATTGCCAGAGTCCAGCAGTGGGGTGGCCATGAGAGTGCCGCTGCACTCCAGCCTGGGAAATGGAGTGAGACTCCGACTCAAAAAAAAAAAAAAATAATAATAATAATAAGATAACCATTTCCCACTTTGATGTGTCTTATGTTAGATCAATGAACCAATTTAATTTTTTCTATCTCTGTGTCATTGCCTAATTTCTTCCCCCTCAGCTACCCCCTGCTTTGCTGTTGCCATGAAGAGATAAAATGCCTTGCTCGATGTTCTTTCCTAAGGAGTACATTCCATGTAATTCCATGTAACAGGATGAACATCCCGTAGTCCAGGCAACTCACTGACCCCGTTAATTACTGCTGCTACTCCTGGCTCACTGATGGCCAGGAAGTCACATAAGGGAGGGTCACAGAGTGTGTGCTGGGCCCAACGAATGGGTAACGTCAGTGTTAGATCAAGCAGAAACTGTTTGCCTGGCGCTGTGGCTCATACCTGTCATCCCAGCACTTTGGGAGGTTGAGGCAAGAGGACTGCCAGAGCCCATGGGTTCAAGACCAGCCTGGGCAACTTGGCGAGACCTCATCTCTACAGTAAATCAAAAATTGGCCGAGCATAGTGGCTCATGCCTGTAATCCTAGCACTTTGGGAGGCTGAGGCAAGAGGACTGCCTGAGTCCAGGGGTTCGAGAGCAGCCTGGGTAACTTGATGAGAATTGCAATACAACTAGCTTCTACAATAAAACAAAAAATTAGCCAGGTATGGTGGCATGTGCCTGTAGTTCCAGCTACTTGGAAGGCTGAGGCAGAAGGATCACCTGAGCCCAGCAGGTTGAGGCTGCAG